CCCTTTTTCTTTTTTTTTTCCCTTAAATTGTATCAGAAATAAATTCTGGAAAGCGACTTGTTTCAATGTAAAATGTAATGAACTTAAAATATTGATTCAAGTGCTTCAAGATTTTGTTTATTATTGTATTAAAGGCCGGTACACCTTGACAAACAAGCTGTGAAGAATTCTCCATCAAGCTACTGTCAAAAAATACTGCAGAGAGCGATTGAAGCAGAATTGCAGATTCTGAACACCCATTACCATATGTGCTATCAGCACTGCTTGGAGGTTTACAAACTGGCTTTGAAGGAAAACGCGAGTTCTAGCAGGCATGTACTTGAATGTCCTTTGAAATGAAATTGGTATCTTGGTCAAAGGCATTAATTGCTAGATATTACTTGGGTAGTCTAGGTGTAGCTTGTCACAGTGTATGTAATCAGTGGTGGTGTCTGAAAGAGTTTACATTCTGGTAACTGCCTAGTTTTATTTTCAGCCTAAAATTTTTATGGCATTCAAAGACCCAGTGATACTGGGAAGGTCTTTCTGTACTGGAGGAGAACTACAGAAGGAATAGTACAGAGAATCTGTTCAGGAGTGGATGAGATGCCTAGAGGGGGAGATGGGGAGGAGGTGGTAAAGGAGAAAGAGGAGAGGTGCAGAACTCTTTAACACGTGAGGTAGGAAGAGGGCATAGATTGCAGAGTCTGTAGCTGATAAAGCATATGCCCTGTAATGAACGTGGAATTCAGCCATGAAGTCCTCCCTCTGAACACTTTCCTGTGCTATGGATAGCTATAAAACCTCGTTACCGTCGTGTCTGCTCCGCAGCTTGTGCGCATTAGGAGCAAGCCCATGTTCCTGTGCCTTGTGGGGGAATCTTTAAACGCTGTAAAGTGTTTGGGCAGTTCTGGAAGCTGTAAAATACAATAAGTGTCTGTCTAAGTTGATCTTCTTTTCTTACATTTATTTTAACAGATGTACTGGAAATACTGGCTTACTTTCTTCTGTCTTGTTGGTTTTGGAAGAGCTAAAAGAAAATTACAGCAGTATGAGAATGAAAATAAAAATGGGCATACCTTTAAATGAACTCCCACCGCTATCAGTTGAGATTAGGTTGGCCCCCATCTCCTCCTCTTATGTCCCGTGCAAGGTAATGAGATTCTTAATGGCTTTTTGTTTTTAATATAAATTGTTTTCGTCAGAAAATTAAGACTGTTTTTTTTTTTTTGACAGTTGTTCAGAGGGGATCTTTGTCATGAGTAAGTATTCATTTGTGGTATTTATTAAAGCTCAAAATAAATGAGAAGGGAGTTTAAAATATGTTACACTTAGAATTCCTTTATTTTAGCATGTATCTCTTAGCTCCAAACGGTTTCGCCAAGAGACCAGCATAGCACTTTGGGTACAGTAATTTTATTTTAAGGAAATTTATACTCTGTAGTGTTCCAATATGCAAACTATGGAGTGGTATTTTTAATATTTTCATAGCAAAAGTTCTCAATTTACGGGTAATTTTCCTGGTTCCATACTTTCACTACTAAAATCTTTGAGTCTAATGCTCTCTGTCTTAAACAAACAAAAAAAAGCAACGAAAGTAAAAAATGGGGAATATTTAATCACTATTTCAGAGTACTTGGTATCATTGTAGAATTGAAAATTGTGCCACATTTTTGTATGAAATTCTTGGCTCTGTTTTAGTATTGTTTCAGGCTCAAGAAGAGCTGACTTTGAAGCACCAAAACTGCAAGAAAGGAAAAGTTCTGTCAGCATGGTAGGGACTTCTTTATTACTGAATTTTCTCGACATTATGTTGTGAGGCATAGTCTTCTCTCATATATACAAATACAATCACAGCCTTCAAGGCTCAAACTGGGATTCTCTGCCAGTAATTGCAAATGCAACTGATGTCTCCAAAATTTTGATGATAATTTCAAAATAAAGTAACTTGGGTGTTCCTGAAGACAATCAGTAGGTTATCTTTTTTAAATTTACCTGTTTAATCACTTCATGTTCTGAAGCTCAGATAAATAATGCATAATCAAGTGCAAGTGTTGTAACTTAACTGAAACATGTTTATAGGACAGTCCACAGGTTGTATGTTTAAAAGATGACGATCAGCCAAGTGACTCTACTTCCTCCAAGGGATTTGAAGAACAACATAAAGATCAGGATGTGGAATGTGGTAAGTGGCCTGGTTCTAGTACAAATACTGCATTATCTGTTAGTGAAGTTGTTAGGGGGAAAAAAGTGTGTAAAACGTATGTGGATACTCAGCTTTCCTTTCTGTGAAGGAACGCTTAACATGATAGCAGCCCTATATTATACTTTACATCTTGGAAAAGAAATTGCTACTTAAATCACAGGTGAAAACTAGTATGTGTCACCTCTGCTTATAGTAAGTAGTACCATATCATGTAGGTAGCTGTAATCCTCTTAAGCATACCAAAGACTGATATTCATTCATATGACGTACCATTGTCTGGATTTTGACACGCTGACATTATTTCGATTGTCAAGGCTGTGTGAAAAATGAAGAAGGGAGTGAATATTGGTTTGATGCTAAAGAGGAGTTGAAAGTAGAAGACTTCTCAGTAGTATCTGAAGAAATGAAAAGGCAACAAGAAAAAAAAGACACAACTGATTTAAGAGGTGAGGTCATGTGCTATAAGCTGTCAATAATGGTGTTTGTTTATTATTTGAGTATTCTTTTCCTTCTACAAGCATAAGTAAACTCAGAAAAAATTCTAAGTCCGTTAGTTCTTCATTGACTTGCAGTGAATGCTTTTACAAATATTCAGCTCTTTTCATCCATGTTTTCCCTTGAAACTTTACCTACAGAGGTTAAACTCAATTCAGTAAACCATGTAGCTGGGAAGTATTTCTTTTTCTCTCTTCCTCCTCTTTCTGTTTCTTCCCCATACTGGCTTCTTAAGAGTTAGCTGAGAATGGTCTGTGTTTGGACACTTGGGTCCCAGTGGTGGGCATGGTTAGAAGTCTTGATATGTTGAAAGTGGAGAGCTTGTGTGCGTTGTGGTGGTGATGCGCAGCGTGCTACCCATGTCTTGGCACTGGTACCTGGTAGTACAAAGTCGTGTTCTCTCTGGTTGTGCCCTTTCAAACCTCAGGAAATACACAAGGTAAAGAGATTTCACTAACTGAACTGTTTCACTTCGCGGGGTACTCTGATTTTCTGTTAGAAGATAGTCTTCTTTCTTTCAGATTTCTTTTAAATGTTTTTGATCTGTGTTTTTGGAAATATGCAGAGATGTTAGCTTGAACCGAAACAAGAATAGTTATTAACACTTTGTTTTCTTACATTTATTGTTAAAAGCGAAGATCACGGAGTGTGGAAATGAGTGTTCTTTTATTCGTGTTGGTGGCCTAAGTTCCTCAGTGTCAGAGGTATGCCTGTTCTTTTTTACATAGTAGTAGTAACATCTTGCCTTTTTTCTCAATTCTTTCATACTATACACTTGCAACCAAAATGTGCTTCTATTTTGTAGGGTGATTTAAGATCACATTTCCAGAAGTACCAGATTTCTAACGTTCTTCTCCACGTGGATTCTGGTAACCACAGGTATACGAAGTTTTACTTGTTTCAGATTTTACTTTCCTGTCAAAGTAAGTGAATCGTGGGAGAGATGAGGGAGTTTTTCATTAATTTTAATTTTGTTTCAGTAATTAAAATAGATACAGGCTGACAAAAAATTCATTCCAGACAGTTGAACAGTCTGAAATTTTCTATTGAGTTTAATTGAAATTTTTTCAGTTTCTATTGAGATACAGTTAATATTTGAAGGATTAGAACCATCGTGTGTTCTTACTGATAGTAATTTGTGTTTCCTTGATCTTTTTTCCTTTTATCTCTTAGATACGCATTTCTTTGCTTTAAAGAGACTAATAAAGCAAAGTTAGCTGCAGAGGAAATGAACCAGAAAAAAATAAAAGGAAAAAGAATAAGTGTTGAACTTGTAAGTGATTCATCAGAGAACGAATCTTTGGTTTCCCAAATGCTTACAAATAAGCTTCAGCATGAAATCCAACCTGTTGCTAACAGTCAAAGAAATGATCAAGATAAAACATTCACTTCAGCCTGCAATTCTGTGGCGAAAGCACCTGATGTCACCTCTGCTCCTAAGCAAACGCATCTCATTCCTGTAACTTCTTCAAAAAGTTCTTGCTCTGCGCAAGTACCTCCAGAACCAAAGTGTCCTGGTCTGAAGTTGTCTACTGAAGCTTTGGTACGTTTTTTGCTTTAAGTTAATCAAAAGGTAGAATTATATGTTCCTTTATATGGCAGATGAAGAGCCTTAAAACTTTTTTGTTCAGTCATATGTTACAGTTAGTATATATAGAATGATGTTAGGATAGGAAGAAATGTTTTGTGTCAGTAATAAATTTCTGGCACGCTGCAGAAAAGTGAGAGCACTGTTCATTTGCCTTTGCATCAAATTGCGATCCTCCGTCTTTTTTTCTTAATCTTAAGCCAGCTGGGAACCTGGCCACTTGCACTAGATCTTGCGTTTCTCCTCTTTGCAGTTTCCACTTTTAATGCTTTTTTTTTTTATGTGAATGTTTTGTGATTTTACACAGGAAAGATTTTAGGATATTAGAGGGGAAAACTCCTCGATTTTAAATATAAATCTAAAGATACTTCATATGTGAAAATGTTTTTGCTCAAGTTGGTCCTTGGAGGCTAAGGCAAAGTTAGTAATTGCTGGTGTTGCACTCATAACCTATAGAGATACACTGCTTTTGCAGATTTAACTTTAAACACACTGATACTCTGGGAAATACAAATTGGATCTAATTTAATGTAGCAGGAA